ACCCTCCTTACCCCTGTCCCACATTCCTGTTCATTGACCCGCCAATGTGCACGGTCACCCCCCCCCACCCAACCTGCCAGACCCGTGCTGGGTGGTCCCTGCCTCCAGGGACACAGGCTCGGCGGGAGGGGGCAGTGACCGTTCCTCTTCCGGACCGCTGGCTGGCTGCTGCTCTCCCTCTCCTCAGATGGGAGGGGGCGTGCCTGGGGGGAGGGGTACTCTGGCATGGCAGGCAGTGCAACCCCAGGCCCCAGTGATGCCTGGAAATGGGAAGGGTTTGCAGGCCGATTCCCTCTTCTCTGAGCTCCCCAAGGGCTCAAAGGCCTCACACAGGGGAGCCCAGTGGTCTCAGCAGAGATGCCCACAGCGCAGCCTCGTTATCCTTGTTAACCACGTGACACGGAGGAGGAGGAGTCAAGCCGGGGCTGGGTCGGGAATCGGTGCAGGTGGGGGGCCTGCCGGCGGCATTTATGCCCCATGCGTGGCCAAGGCCTGGGACCCAGGGAAGGTGGGGGGCCACCATCCTTGTGAAAGGCCCCCTGGTTCTGGAGGCCCGAGGTGCCACTGACCCGGGCACCCTGGGTGCACTTTGCAGGGGAGACCCGCAGACCCCCCGTCCTCCGTCACCAGCTTGCCCAGGCATCAGCAGGGTCCGCACTGTGCCCCCGGCCTTGACGTGCTTGGCACACGCTGAGGTGGGTGTGGTGAGCCGTCAGTGCCTGGGAGGGGGGTTCCGGGAAGGCTTCCTGGAGGAAGTGACCTTGGAGCTGCGTTTAGAGACTGGAGGGAGTTATCGGGAGGTGAGGGGCCCTGTGGGCCATGCTCCCTGGGGTGGGGGTGGGCTTCGTCTTGGGGGCACGGGAGCCAGAGGAGGGAGGTGGCAGCCATCTGCTGTAGGTCTGGAGTGCCCTCTCCCAGCACCCAGCCTGCCATGGGGCAGCCTCCAGACCAGGAGGGCTTCTCCCTTGCGAGGAGCACTTTGGGGCATGTGCAGGACGTTCTGGGTCCACGTGACGCCACATGCTCACTGCAAGGGCGGCTCAGCACGAGGGATTGGAGGAAAAGGACAGAGCAGTGGGCCCAGGCAGACAGGACCTCCCCTCCAGGAAGCGGCCTCCCAGCCAGGCCAGCCCGGGGCATCGGAGTGCCTTTTGACCTCAGGCCACAGACTTCGCGCTGTGGACAACCTTCCTGGCGTGACCTGGGAGGCAGAGGAAGTGCCTCTCCTGTAGGCCCAGGGCCAAGGGGGGGAGGAGAGCTAATCCCCGAGGAGTTTGTGGTGTAGAGTGGCCCCGGGCTGGGCTTTGGGGCTCCTGCCTGCATGCACACACACAGGTGCTCATCTTGTCCCCACACACGTGCACGCACGCACATGCACACCCACACATGCACAAGTGCTCGCCTCGTCCCCACATACGTGCATGCATGCACACACACCCGTGTTTGTCTCGTCCCCACATATGTGCGCGCACACACACGTGTTCGTCTCATTCCCACATGGATGCATGCACACACACAGGTGCTCATCTTGTCCCCACACATGTGCATGCACGCACATGCACACCCACACATGCACAAGTGCTCTCCTCGTCCCCACATACATGCATGCATGCACACACACCCGTGTTTGTCTCGTCCCCACATATGTGCGCGCACACACACGTGTTCGTCTCATTCCCACATGGATGCATGCACACACACAGGTGCTCATCTTGTCCCCACACATGTGCATGCACGCACATGCACACCCACACATGCACAAGTGCTCGCCTCATCCCCACATATGTGCATGCATACACACACACACACACAAGTGCTCGCCTCGTCCCCACATACGTGCGTACACACACACGTGTTCGTCTCGTTCCCACATGCATGCATACACACAGGTGCTCGCCTTGTCCCCACACACGTGCATGCATACACACATAAGTGCTCATCTTGTTCCCACACGCATGCACGCACACCCACACATGCACAAGTGCTCGCCTCGTCCCCACATACGTGCATGCGCACACACACACCCCAGTGTTCGTCTGGTTCCCACACACATGCATGCACATGCACACACACACAAGTGCTCATCCCCACACACATGCACACACACACAAGAGCTCATCCCCACACACATGCACACACACACAAGAGCTCATCCCCACACACATGCACACACACACAAGAGCTCATCCCCACACACATGCACACACACACAGCACACACCCACACACGCACAGGTGCCTCACTCACCC